GTTGTTTTTCGAAACATAAAAAACACCATTCTAGGTACTTCAGATAAAGCTAATGTATGGCAGCTTCCAAAGAAAACTTATGGTCTCATCGAAGGCTGGCGTTGATCATTGGTAATGAAAAGTATCAATCGAACAATAAATTGGCCTATTCAATCAATAATGCTAATGATCTGAAGCATTCATTGGAGAAAATTCAGTTCAAAGTTACCTTATATCGAGATGTTGAGCGCGAAATGATGGATATCATTGCAAATTTTGGCGGGGAAATTGAGGATGGTGATTTGATCCTGTTTTACTTTTCAGGCCATTGCTATCGGGTCAATAATGAAAACTATTTGCTGCCAACTCATGACATTAAAATCCAAACTGCAGAAGATATTCCAGATTTCGGTTGTAGAACTGATAGCGCTCTCAAACGACTCATGAGAAATAACCCGTCCTATGTGACTATATTTATCCTGGATTGTAGTTCTCAATATGTACTGAACACTGGAACGGCAGTCAAACGTAAGTATAATTATAAATGCCTTCATCAATGTACATATCTTCTTTTAGCGAGGGCCGAGGGCAAAGGTCTATCTGAAATGCAGCCACCTCCTGAAACATTCATCCAGTTTGCTTGTGGTGCTAATCAAGCAAGCACTGTGGTACTAGGAGCCAATCGTAATAGCTTGTTCACAAAGCACTTATTACAAAACATTACCGAAGAAAATATCATAATCAGTGAACTTTTCAGTCGGGTAAGAAATGCCGTGTACCAAGAAAGCAATCACAGGCAAATACCATTGTCAATGGACGGTTTACAACAATACAAACAAGTCTATCTAAATAAAGTGATCATCGGTAAGTAAAGAAGGCAGAGACTGTTAATTTATCAATTCGCAAAATCAGCTCTATTGCTGTAGTTTAATGCGTTTATTTAAAGGAGTCTGATGTAGGGTATGTCGGTAGCACTATTTATTTCAATAATGAATTGATCCGTAAGATTTTGCTTTTCATTCGAAGAAAACTCATCCAGCTGATTTTCACATTAATAATGTATAACCATCGCGCTGTCATTCGTTCTGAGCATCTTGGCTCAAACATCAATGTGTCATATTTCAAAGACAAATAGATGAAAAATGGCGAAAAACGTTTTTGAAAATACCAAAGAACATAACCCTGGTTGACAACTTTACCTCCAACGAGAAACAAAACGCCGACCTTCTGTGCAGTCATATCAGACTGTAGCGAATAACGGCACATGAGTCGCCATCCAATGAGTACATAGGCCCCACTCTTTTATCACATGTCTAGTTTAACAGTAATTGAAAACGTTTTTGGTAGAAACGGTCAGATACAATCATTAGTCTCAGAGATCTGATCAGTACAAATACATGCAGTACAATAGAAATGCTTTTTACTTAAGAGTGGTACTTAGTAGATTTACTTAAGTACAGTTATTTTCTTGATCCATTTCACATTTTTTGTATCAATATCTGGCGTACACACATTGCTAAAACATTGATAATAATCATATTTGAAATTCAACTTTTCACGATTTATGATGAGCGAACATAAAAATATGAAGAGAAATGTCCGGAATCATTAATTTAAGGGTGTGGGTAGGATTGAAGACAATATCAATAGTCACAACTAGGGTCCAGCTCATCTGCTATGCAAACAATGATTAGTAACGTGGATGGGCTTGATATAATTGCCAGTTTCAATAAAAAGGACTAAAAATATGGAAAGAATTATTTCGACCTTTTAACATTTCTTTCAGTATATACCGTATATGGACGATACTTTTAAGAATCGAATGAAATTCGTATCAGATGCAGTTTTGAATATAGCAAGTGATATTTTAACCAACATCTTACAATAAATCGCTCGTTCTTGAGATCATCGACTGGTATAAATTAATTTGGAGTGATTTAGAAAGAATGACATATCGTTCAGAGTAAAGCATTATATCCCATTTGCTATTAACCTTTACTGACACATAGCTGATCTTTTTGATACACTGACTGAATATCATTTTCACAGATCGGTTTAAGCAATCTAACTATATTATGTCTATTTTGTTGCCGATAAAGATGTATTGTCTCTTCACGTGTGTGCAAAATGTCGGAAACATCTTGAAACTTTTAAGAAGAAGAAAAAATGCAGGGTAAACTCAAAATAATACCATACATAATGAGAGCGACCTATGGAAGTACTTACATGTGTACCTAGTACCAGTACTAAGTACCACTTCTAAGTAAAAAATATATTTCCTTGTACTGCAAAAATCGTACTAGTATCTAATATTTTAAAGCTAAAAGTACAAAAAGTACTAAGTATTTTACTCAAGGGGGAAAAAGCGGCTCCTGGCTCCTTGGATTCTGGCGGCTCTTCATGGATCCTGGTGGATTCTATGGATCTTAGTGGATTCTGGCAGCTCCTCGTGGATTCTATGGATCCTAATGGATTCTGTGGATTCTGTGGATTCTGCTGGATTCTACTAGATTCTGCTGGATTCTACTGGCTTCTGGTAGACTCCAGTGGGTTCTTATGGGTCTTGGTAGATGCTTGAA